ACTCTTCACTTGTCTTCTCTCTTAATGTAAAAGGAGCAAGTAGTCAGTGTTCAGTTGACTGCTGCCTTGGTGCCTGTCCTTAGTCAGTTGGGCTCAGGAGGCTTTGGAAATCTTTTTTTTTTTTAATTTTTAAAACTGAAACTCAAACCAGAGTCTGCTCTGTCAGAATCAAATGTCTCAATAGTTCTTATTGGTGCATAATTGATGCTTATTTTTTTAGTATTTATATAGAATGGGCATATTTGTGGTGTTTCATTCCCACCTGTAAGGCAATTTTCTAGATTTCTTATTTTTCCCATAATTTCTAAGGTTACCCTTAAAATATTTTTCTTCAATATGTGAGTTGTATAAGGGGGAAAAGCATACCTATTAACACAGAGCAAGGCTGCTTTTGGTTCTATGCTAACCAGAATTTCAAATGTTGGATTTAACATCTCCATTTCAGTGTTTTTCATTAAAATAAAAGGGAGAGGATGATAATCCACTAGATCATAAGGTGAAAAGGCTTCTGGCCATGTTTCAGGCCATGATGTAAGTAAGATTTCATCTAAGATCCAAAGCACCAGGCAAATTAATCACGAACTGAAATCTCAACATTATCAGCCAAAGTAAACCTTTATTTCTGAATTGAAAAAAGATCACATTATATTTATAAGACATTTTGGGAGCTAGAGAGATGGCTCAGCTGTTATAGGCTAGGCTCATAGCCAAAAATAAAATGTTTTATTCTTTTTTTTTTTTTTTTTTTTTTTTTTTTTTTTTGGTTTTTTTATGAGACAGGGTTTTTCTGTATTGTTTTGGAGGCTGTCGGTCCAGCCCGGCCTCGAAGTTTTATTCTTTTTTAATGGTTTCATGTGGGATACATTTTCTGATCTTAAACTTTTAAGATAGACAGGGTGGATATGTTGTTTCCATTTTATAAATGAATAGTCTAGGTAAGTGATCATGAGTTGCATAGCTAATACATGCTGTACTTCAGGTTTGAGCCTAGCCCATCTAATTCCATGTTCCATAGAGTAGTACAAACAATAACTGAAATTTAAGTTGGTTATGGCTTATAATTATATTGGGGCATTAGAAAGATATCTAAAATTGAGGTAAATATGTATCCTAGGATTATTTTGTTATACTATTTTTCTCTTCTGGTTATTTTAATAGATTTTTTTCCCTAAATGAAGTAAAATATTTCTTTGAAGTTGTGTTCACTTGATTTCATATACGAAGTGAAAGAAACACATTTATACATTCATAATTTCTGAATTGGAGAGATTTTTTTATTTGTGTGCTTTATTGAATTTAGTCATTGTTATTACCTCGCTTACAGTTAAAAGGAGCTTCTTTAATTCCTCAGCTTTGTGAGATTAAAAACAAACAAACCTAGAAAATTGCCCATTGCCATTTTGTGTTTCCCTAAAAATAGATTTTCACAATTTTGGATTCATTAAAGTGCATGTTCATCATTAGATTATAAAGTAAAAGAAGCCTTCTGGAAAGAATCTAAAAATCTCATTAATAATGAGTAAACATTTTATATTTTCATATATTTTAAATTGGACATGGTGACCCCCACCTTTAATATTAGCACCTAAGAGGAAGAGGCAAACTGAACCATGTGAGCTCAAGGCTGATCTCTCTACATAGTGAGTTCCAGGCCTGCCAGGGCTATACAGTGAGGTCCTGTCTACAAAAGAAAATAATGTTAGTGTAAAAAATGCATTCCTGTCTCCTATTACCAAGCCTGATTCTGATTCTACTGGTCTCTCTTTTTTCTTTCTTTCTTTCTTTCCTTCCTTCCTTCCTTCCTTCCTTCCTTCCTTCCTTCCTTCCTTCCTTCCTTCCTTCTTTCTTTCTTTCTTTCTTTCTTTCTTTCTTTCTTTTTTAGACAGGGTTTCTCTGTGTAGCTTTGGAGCCTGCTCTGGAACTTGCTCTGTAGACCAGGCTGGCCTCGAACTCACAGATAACTGCCTGCCTCTGTCTCCTGAGTGCTGGTACTAAAGGCATGCACCACCACTGCCCGGCTCATCCCTCTGTCTTCAGCAGATACTGTGCTTTATGTGTTTGATGCTCTTCAGTCTCAAGACACTTTGCTCTATTGATAATCAACTTACCTTGCAGCTGCTGTACTAAAGTATGAAAATAATGTGATGAATATTCGACAGTTTAATTGTTCTCCACATCCTTACTGGTTGCCCAATTTTATGGATGTCTTCACATGGTCTTTACCATTTGTTGGAGAAAAAGGTATGTTTCTTATTTTGTTTTGTTTTTTTACAAAATAATTATTTTACTACTTTTACATGTACTCTAGTTTACTATCTTAGACACGTACTTACTAGAGGAAACTGAAGCCTGGTTCTACTGTGCTTACAGCTCTCCTTGTGTCTGTGGGTGTGAATATGACAACCTCAAAGATATTTTGGTTCGATGTTTACAGCCCCCATGTGAGGATGTCTGGGGGACTGGGAGATGATTTATAAATAACCTGATGTTGTCTTCAGCTGTTGGATTTTCTTTCGTTTTGTTTTAAGCTTAAATCTTTTATGGAGGTTAGCTTTACTTTGGAATGGACACCTCCTGCATATTCTAATACCATTTGTGGAGATTTCACAGCAGTTTATTGGAGAATTTGATAGCCTTCATTTTGGCAATGTTAGTTAATTTATAGTTCATCTGTAGTCTAAGAGAAGTAGAGAAATCCAGATTCTATCCATTAAATCCAATTCTAATATTCCCCTATATCAGAAAAATATGCATATATTTTTTAGTAGTGATGCTTTCTGATAAATGTTGAGAAATAGCCATTAGAACTTTTACCTTTGAGAAATAACCATTAGATTTTTAAAGAAAAATTAAGTGCCATCGAGTAATTTTTTTTCCTACTAGTTGTGTAGAATTAGGCTTTTGTTGCCCTCTTTTCCATGCTAGTGTTCACTCTTTTTCTTTGTCCCCCCCCCTTTTTTTTTTAATGAGACAGTGCATCAGATTTCATATGTGGCAAATTGACAATCCAAGACTACAGATAGAATTACAAAACAACATTTTGTTCTATTCCTCCTCTTTTTTCACACCTCTTCCATGTTACAAAATGTTCCTTTCTCTGTGATATGTTACCTCTGCCAAGGCAATTTTCGGGTCTAAAATTCAGAATTAATAATTATACTGTGTATGTTAGTTTCTGTAGCTTGTCTTTACTCGTCTTCATTTACTCATTAGGTCTGATGTTTGGTTCATGTGGAGATAGAATTACCCATTTTAGCATTTGAGAAGAGGACTAGTTAAGGGCTTAGGTGGAAGGGATGTATTACACTTAAACAACCTTCTATCTTTGGGGTATGAGAAATAGTTCAATCATAGCATCATCAAGCTAAGGGGAATTTAAAAATTCATCTCTCTCACTGTGTTGTCTCTAGACCAGATTGCAGCTCAACTACTTTAATACAAGATTGTGAGGGGTGGAGTATGGGGATCAGAAGGATAAAGTAAAAAGGAGAATGGTCATTTAGTTATTTTACACTTCTGTGTGCTATTTCATAATAGCTAATGTTTCTGCCATAAATATTTAAACAGATTACAGTCTGTAAGTGAATTTAATAATTCATATTGTCTACTTTCTGTTGAGAGATCAGAAAGTTGAAGCTGATCTCTGTTTGTCTGCTACAAATGAATAGATGGTGGAGAGCAATAGACTCCTGCTGATGTTCCAACATTTCTTTGCTATCAGATGATCTCTAGAAATTAAAGAGAAAGGTTTAGTAAGGCTGGACAACATGGTTTGTTCCTGTAATACCTGCATGCAAGAGATGGAGGCAGGAGTATTGCTGCAAGTTCAAAGCCACTTATGCACTTCAGGTCATCCAGGGCTACAGACTGAGACCTCAGCCTCATGGCAGTCTTCTTGCTTCAGCCTCCAAAGCTTAGGATTATAGTCACAAGCCATTTCAGAACTGCTTTCTGATTTCAAGAAAGAAAGAAAGAAAGAAAGAAAGAAAGAAAAAGAAAGAAAGAAAGAAAGAAAGAAAGAAAGAAAGAAAGAAAGAAAGAAAGAAAATGGAGCTGGACTAGTGGCCCACACTTTTAATCTCAGCACTTAGAAGGTAGAGGCATGAGGGCGAGAAATTTAAGGTTGTCCTCTGCTACATCTTGAGTTTAAGGTGAGTCTGGGCTTGTTTCCCATTCCCCACTCTACCCAAAATCTCAAAACTGAAAAATTTTAATACAAATTAAATTATGAAATTCTGTATACCAATTATTCACCTTGTACAGTGTACACCTTGACACCCTTTGTCATTAATATTTCTATTCAGTATTACCTCTGTATATCTAAACTGTTTAATCTATGCTATTTCAGACTGTATCTCTAAAAGATGGATACTCATTTTTAAATTTACATTAAAGCATTTATTGGTTTCTTAATTCAGAACATAAAAACCATTTTGAGAAAGGGGAAATTGATGTGTAAATATATGTATATGCGGAGAACATTTTTCATATGTGGGTTGAGTGTTTCAAGATAGGATTTCTTTGTGTAGCCCTGGCTCTCCTGGAACTCACTCTGTAGAGACTGGCCTCAAACTCAGAGTTCCTCTTTCCTCTTTGTTCAATTATGTGACTCAAATACAGCTGAAAAAAAGAAGGACTGTGTGACAGGTTCTACAGCCCAATATGTTAACTATTGTATATTAATTTTCCCTGCACAATGAAGGTTACTTAAGTCAAAGTTAAGTAAAAATATACATTTTTTATATGGATCCATTCATCATCTCCCACATTACTATTTTGCCTCCTGGGTGATGGGATTAAACTCTTATTTATTGCCCCTAATTTAAGGACACTTATAGAAGATCATGCAAGACTTTTTTTTTTTTTGAGACAGTGTCTGTCTGTGTAGCTCTTGCTCTTTAACCTAGACTTGCCCTGAATCCATGGTCCTCTAGCCTCATTCTCCCCAGAATACTGGAGTATACCACTGGTCTTCATTTTAGTGGTCATTCTTTCTATTAAAAAAATTCTTTTGAAATGCTTCACAAATGTATAAGTCATCCTTGTATGGGGGGCCATGTTAATCTCTGTAATGTTCCCATTTTAGTGTATGTGCTGCTGAAGCTGTCACTCTATCTCTTCCTCTAACCACTTGTTGTTAGCTATAAGCAACTACTAATGTATGGTTTCTATGGGCTGTTAGAGACATTTCATATACATAGAGTTGTACAATATATAGTGATTCATTTATTTATACTGGCTTCTTTACACCCCCTCCCCTTTTTCTATTTTGATTTTTGTTTTTGGTTTTTACAACACAGGGTTTCTCTGTATTGTTTTGGAGGCTATCGGTCCAGCCCGGCCTCAAACTCACAGAGATCAGCCTGCCTCTGCCTCCTGAATGCTGGGATTAAAGATGTGCGCCACCACCACCCGGCCTATTTTGATTTTTTAAAAAAGATTCATTTATGTGTATGAGTGCTCTATTGACTTTATACCAGAAGAGAGCACCAAATGCCATTATAGATGGTTATGAGCTACCATGTGGTTGCTGGGAATTGAACTCAGGCTCTCTGGAAGACCAGCCAGTGCTCTTCACCCCTGAGCCATCTCTCCAACCCCAATTTTGATTGGTTTTATGTACATGTTTGTGTGTAAACTGGTACAGATATGTCTGGATACCTTTGTATACACAGATATATGCAATCCAGAGGACAGCCTTGGGTGTCATTGTCCATTCTTGTGTCTTCTATATTGATTTTTGAAACAGGCTGTGAGTGGCCTGGGACTCACCAAGGTTAGTTAGTTCTTCTGCTTCAGTGTTATGAATACAGCATAGCACATGCCAGTGTGGCTTGTTTCAGAAGTTTATGGTTTTGATGAAATTTAATATGATTCCTAGAATTAACCTAATCCACCAGGTAGTGGAGGAGGTGGTGCCCATTACTCAGGAGGCAGAGACAGGCTGATGATCTCTGTGAGTTCGAGACCAGTCTGGTCTATGGAGCGAGTTCCAGGACAGGCTCCAAAGCTACAGAGAAACCCTGTCTCAATTAAGCAAATAACAACAACAGCAACAAAACAAAACAAAAGACAAGATTACCTGATCCATAAAGCTTTACCCCTATATTTTTTTTATTTCACAATTTTAGAAGTCTTTGTTTCATCTTGAGTTAGTTTTTATATTAGTGTACTAAGGATGATATCTAACATGTTATTTTTCAGTAGATAGGCAATTTTTGAAAATCATTCTTTATCTGTTAAATTATTTTTGGCACCCATGTAAAAATATTTAGTTGATATTACCTATGAATTTTTATTTCTGGATCCCCAACTACTTTCCATTTACCTATGAGACTATTTTATAGTTTTTGTAACTTCTTCATAAAATGTGTGATGTGTCCTCTTCCTGGAAAACTGAAATCTAGTTTATAACTCCTCTCAGATGTTATTTGTTGAAACTCTTGTATTTGGTAGCAGAACTTTGGTGTCTCTGAATTCCAGTTTCTTGGAGTTCTTATTTCTTTAATTGCTTTCATTTCAAAGTTTTTCATTTCTGTTGTTCCTACCATCATAAAGTATCCTATTGAATTATTGCTGTGTACAAGTGTGGGCAGTTGTATATATATATAGGCATCTAACATACCACTCTCTTTTCTTTTTGAATAGTGACAGAAATGTTGGTAAATGTTCTGAGTATTTGCTCTGATGATGAACTAATGACAGAAGGTGAAGACCAGTTTGATGGTATGAATACTCATCTTACTATTTTTATTATGAAATGCTAACTCTTTAACTGCTGAGTCTCAGGATACTCTATTCAAGAAAAATAAAGTCATTGCTTTCACTATTTGATAAGTGAGAATTACTTGTACACTCCCCCCCCCCCACACACACAGACACATTTTAAGTTTTAGGAATAATGTTATGTATTTTTGTAGTGATGTGGGAGTTTTTGGGAAGGGAGAGTTTGGAAAAAAGGACAGAAAAGTGGAGTTCTTGAAAGGATGCAGTTCTTGATGAGTGTGGACATCACCTTTTGAAGGGTTATTTAGTTCTGTGTTCATAGTCATCAGAAACATCTTTGACTCCTTAGTATTGTTTTCACTTCTTTACCAATGTCGGCTGTTCTCATCTAGTGTGGTTATGTTTTAGAAGACCACTTGCAGTTTGCTAGAGATTCTGGAAGTTTTTCTTTTTCCATAGAAACAAGGTTATATGTGGTTGTCCCCTCTTATATAAGCCAAAACCTCGTGTACCAAATGTATATTTATATTATGAAGAATATGATTAAAATTGGTTGATTTTATGTTTTGAAATTTTTACTTAAAATTTTTTAAGCTACTTAAATTTTAACAGTAAAATAAAAAGACAAAATAACTTGAAAGCTGAAAACTGCCAGGCAGTGATAGTGTACACCTATAATCCCAGCACTTAAGAGGCAGAGGCAGGCAGATTACTGTGAGTTCAAGGCCAGCCTGGTCTACAGAGTGAGTTCTAGGACAGGCCCCAAAACTACAGAGAAACTCTGTCTCGAAAAACAACAATAAAAAAGCTAAAAACTATTTCATTCCGTATTCTTCTTATATCTTTATTTGTGAATGTATACTTTTTGTAGTGTCCTATACCTATGTAGTCAATATTCAGATTCATTATGCTAATTATCATCTACATATTGGGAAATTTAATAGGAAGATATAGTGCCATTTTTTTTCTTCTAATCCCCCATCTCTTTGAAATGGTCTCATATCCTTCAGACTGCTCTCAAAACTTAACCTTTAGCTGATGACCTTAACTGCTAATCCTCTACTTCCTAATCTTTGGTATTATAGGCATTACATGGCATCACATCTGGCTTATATTGTGTTCTTGAGACAGTCTTGCTGTGTAGCCCAGGCTGGGCTTGGCTTGATCATCTTGCTTTAGCGCCCCCCCACTAGATTACAGATATTTAATACCACTTCTGATGTGTGTGCTAAGCTATGGAGATTGAACCTTTATGTGTGCTAGGTAAGCCCTCTTCCCACTTATTTTTACCCTAGCCCTCCTCTCCATTTTTTTGAGGAAGGTCTCAGTATGTAGCCCAGGCTGGCCTAGAACTGTGGCAAACCTACCTGTCTCCTTAGAGCCAGGGCATCAGCCATGTGTTACAGTCATGTCTGATTCAAGTTTTATTTTAAACCCATTCAGGTATTGGGGACTGGGTATATGGCTCAGAGGTTAAGAGCACTGGCTACTCTTCCAGAGGTCCTGAGTTCAATTCCCAGCAACCACATGGTGGCTCACAACCATCTGTAACATTATCTGGTGTTCTCTTCTGATCTGTAGGCAGAACACTGTATACATAATAAATAAATAAAATCTTTTTTTAAAAAATACAGGTATTGCTATTGATGTAGGCAGAGCTAATGCTTTTATTATTGTAGCTTTATTAATACTTAAAAAGCAAATTTATGTCAGGTTTTTGGGGCAGATAGATAACATTTTTTCCCTCATAAGTTTCTATTTTAAAATATTTTGTTATATATGGATTTTTGTTTTTGTTTTCCAAGACAGGGTTTCTCTGTGTAACAGCCCTGGCTGTCCTGAAACTCCCTCTGTAGACCAGGCTGGCCTTGATCTCATAGATCCGCCTGCCTCTGCCTAGTGCTGGAATTAAAGGTGTGCACCACCACTGCCAGACAAATCTAGAGTATTTTTTAAAATAATATTTAGCTTTCAAACTAAAGGTTTCTTATTCTATATAATTAGTCCATTTACTGAAATTTACTCCCCTGAATTTATTATTAGTCCAGTTAGAATTAGTTTTTTTAACATTAAGTTAAATTGAAACTAGTATTATTGGTTTTTTGTTGTTGTTGTTGTTCTCACTGCTACTTAACTGCTATTTCTTCTTTCTTTTTAAAAATGGTTTATTTTTATTTTATGTGCAGTGGTATTTTGCCTGCATGTATGTCTGTGAGGGTGTCGCATTCCCTGGAGGCAGGGTTACAGGCTGTTGTGAGTGCTGGGAATTGAACCTAGGCTCTCTGGAAGAACAGCCGGCCAGTGCTCTTAGCCATCTCTTCAGCACTTCAGCTGCTATTTTTAATATCTCTCTGTATTCAGTAATTTATTATTTTGTAGGTTTGTTTTTACATCCAGTAAGATTATGGAATTTAAAATTTTTTTTACAACTTCTAAAAATAGGTTATTTACTTTAGGCTGATAGTATTTCCTACTTTTTGTCATTTTCTTTCAACGTTGTTATTAGTATTGCCAATAGCATATTAAGTAGGAGTAGTAGTAAATCATTTCCTTGTAATAGAAAGGTCAAAAGTTTTAAAAGAGGTTTTATTTATTAGTGTTTTTTCCCATTAATAAAATGTAGGATAAATTATGCCAGTTTATTTGTTGTATTTTATTTATTTATTAGATATACAGTGTTCTGCCTGTGTGTATGCTGCAGGCCAAAAGAGGGTACCAAATCTCATTACAGATGGTTGTGAGCCACCATGTGGTTGCTGGGAACTGAATTTGGAACCTTTGGAAGAGTAGCCAGTGGGTGCTCTTAACCACTGAGTCATCTCTCCAGCCCTTGGTGTATTATTTTTACATTCCAGGACTAAGTTAAAGAGGCAGTATCATTTGATGAAAAAGATAATGGTTTAGTAGTACCTTTTTTTTTTTTTTTTTTTTTTTTTTTTGAGGCAGGGTTTCTCTGTGTAGCTCTGGCTGTTCTGGACCTCGCTCTATAGACCAGACTGGCTTCAAACTCAGATCTGCCTGCCTCTGCTTCAGCCTCCCAAGCACCTTTTACTTTGATTTGTAGCTATGCAGTCTTGGAAAAAAAATCACCCAACTTCTTAGGATCTTCTCATTTATAAATTTAGAGAACAGAAAAAAATGACATTTTATTCTCAAGTAATCTTTACAATTTTCAGCTCCATTTATGACAGTGTTTCTATGGGAAAATACAAAGTTCTGTTTTGCATTCTAGAAATAGATCTCCCTTCACTGTCAGCCTCATAGGTGCAATTACTCCTCACTTTTTCATACCTTCACTAACCAAATATTACTATTAGGAGTTCTAAAAAAAAGATTCAAGCAATGTGAATCAAGGCATTTGCATAGAGGAATGGAAGTGATTTG